AAAATATATTTAATATTTATTTTAATTAATATTTTATATATTTTTAAAATAATAAAAATATAAAAATCAAAACCTAAAGTTCAAAAGGAAAACTAGCGAAGTATCAGAAATTCAGAAGGACCCAGGCCCATGTAGAAAGACCAAAAACTCCGAAACGGGCTATCTTACTTGGGCTAAATTTATTAGGCTTGCCCTGTTGCCCCAACCATATCAAAATTTGAAATGGGCTTTCTCCATGGGCTGACCCGTCCCACTTTTTTCATCAGGAGGCAAAATCTCTCATGAATGTAACGACACGTCGACACCCTCATTTACTGGTCCACTCTCGAATCAGGGCTTAATTAAAGCCTTAAAAGGCCCGAAGGGAGCATGTGGGTTTTTTTATGAACTTTTAAATTTAAAGTTCAAAAAAAAAAAAAAAAAGAACTTTTAAATTTAGAAAATTACCAATTACTTGTTTTAATTTAATTTTTAAAATATTAAATTTAAATAAAAATTTAAATATAAAATATAAATAAAATTGAAATATTTTTATTAAATAAAACTACACAATAAAAATTATATGTTTTTATAAAAAATATACTTCGTATAAGAGAAGGAAATTTTTAAATATCATTATATTTTATTAAATTTTCATTAAAATTTAATATTTAAATAATTAAAACTTTATTTAGAAAATCTTATCGGTACTTTAGTTTTAGTTCTTTTATTTTTATATCTTAAAAATATATAATATATATTTAATATATTTAATATTTATTTTTATTCCTTAACATGCCACTTTTATATGGTTATCATGTTATTTTATTTTAATTCGATTTTAATTTAACCTAATTTAACCTATAAAAAATGGATTAGACTCAAGTAGTATTAGATTTGTGACCAGTTCGGATCCACTCAAACGGGTCACATGTTAAATATGAATGATTTCGCGAGTTTACAAGTAAGTTAACTTGTTTGATTTATTTATTTTTAAAATTTTAAGAAATATATTTTTATAAGATAATTTTTAAGGTAAAATAACAAACAAATATAATTTTAAAAAAATCTAATATGATAGTGGTGATTACAATTTATAAAACTTTTTAAATGAAGTTGATTATAGTCATTTCAAATTTATAAATCAAGTAGTGCATATTATATATGATTATTGATAAAGAAAGCA